TGAAAAAGTGTACCTTGTTGCACATGATTGGGGTGCAATTATTGGTTGGTATCTATGTTTGTTTCGCCCAGATAGAATCAAAGCCTATGTTTGTCTCAGTGTTCCTTTTATGCCCAGAAACCCTAAAGTGAAACCTTTGGATGGAATGCGTGCCTTATATGGAGATGATTATTATATCTGCAGATTCCAGGTTCTTTCTATGTTTCAAATGCATTTAGGATTTTGTTGTTGTTACTTACGTAGGCTTAAATACGATAATTGATTCATATTGTGGATCGCATCAATATATACGGCCGTAATTTCATGGTTACAGTTATAGTCATTAATAGATCATAGTATAATTGCGATGTGGTATTAAATTACCTTGATGTGGAAAGATCGTGTTAACTACGATTGTTCATAAAATGTATTGATAATATAGGTATTATGAAAATATTGGTTATTAAGGAAGAGATTAAAGAACATTGGAAATGTTTATTAATTTTTTTGGTTTGTTAAGGAGACTGTTAACAAGTGTTATCAAGACCTGGTTCCCATATTAGTACACTACAATAGGAAACCAATAAATCGGTTCCCATATTAGTACACTACAATAATTATACTGCAATAATATCGGTTAAAACTGGCCAAAATCGGTCATACTGATCATTTTTCAGTGACCGATTTTTTATTTTTAATGAAAACAAAAAAATTATTATTTTTTATTGATTTTTTTATATATTATATATGTATATAACTTCAACGTTATGCGGTTTAATTAATGAATCACCGTTTGAATCGTTATACCATTGTAGCAGTACCTTCACGTACTTCACCAGTTTGATACCGATATGGTATTAATAACATTAATGTTAAGTTAAGTTAGAACAAATATTATTTGTCTCAAATCATTTCCACAATTGTGTATCTATCAATGATAATGAAGCAAAAACAACAATAATAATGAATATTTAATTTTTTTGATTGACATGACATGTTTTACTTGACGCGAGACAAGATTTGAGACAACTGATTCACATTCCTTAAATTATAGTACACATTTTCTTGTGAATAATACAAACTTTGATGCCACTTCTTGATCTAATGTTTTTGGAGTTAATGATGTAATAGGAACCTGGCAAAATAGAAGCACAACTTGCCAAAGCTGATACTGAACAAATCATCACTACATTTCTCACAGGTCGAAAACCTGGGCCACCAATATTGCCAAAAGAAGGAGTAAAATCCATTCCCAATGTTCCAAATAACCTTCCCAATTGGCTCACAAAAGAGGATGTCACTTATTATGCTTCTAAATTCAACAAATCAGGCTTCACTGGTGCCTTAAACTACTATAGAAATTTGAACTTGTAAGTTCATATTCTTGTTTTTTATCTTGTGTGTTCCATTACTATTGTAGGAGATCCATTGAATCAAAGAGTAAACTGATTTCACATCTTAACCATCAATTCTAAGAAAATTCAATTGTTTGAATTAGTGGGTAGATCTAAACCATTAGATTTCCCTTTAGAGTAAGTGAATCCCCGCTTTCAGACTTCATGGCATAAATAATGTATTCTCTCTTTAGATGTGAAAACATTATTACTTGTTAGGTACATGTCTAATAAACATGTATTGGGTTGGGTTCATATTAGTTTTTTCTTCAAATAAATCTTTTAACCTTACAACATTCAATATAAAAGTCATTTTATTGTTACAATTGCTGTTATGTGACACATAACAATAGAAGAGTTAAATGTTTTTTAATCACTTTCTTTTAATATTGGAATGTAAGGGAATTAAGGAATTTATAAGTTTTTCAATGATTTAATTCAAAAATAATGAAAAAGTTAGACTCTTAACAAAAATTCACAACATATATCAATATTTCTATCGAATATTAGACTCTCTAATGTTAGAAAAGATATGCTCTCTCGAGTTACATGAGTTGCTTAGCTTTAAGGGTGGAAACAGATTAGACTATCTATCATGAGCCTAGTACCTAGCCTATAACAGGTCAGGTCAGACAATGTTTTCTTGGTAAACAGGTCAGATTTAGGCTTCTCCAATAGCCTAGGGTTTGGTAAATAATTATTCCTCTCTCACTTTATAATTCCTTCCTTTGAATTTTGTTTAAACAGATTAACAGGTCAGACTCAGACTCTTATATGCTATATAAGCTCAGCCTGTTTAAGGCAAAGTCTAATCTGATCTGGCTTGTTTCCACCCCTACTTACCTTAATGGTATGTGATTAACATTGTTGTAATAAAAGTTACTGAGAGGGCTTCTATGGTGAATGTTACAAACTTAAATACCTATTGGGTATTTATATAATTAATTAAACTCTAATTTTCTTAAGCTTGTTAGTGTTGTACTAGTACCATAAAATTTGTGAGTTTGCATTAAATTTACACAGGAACTGGGAGCTAACAAGTGCATGGAGTGGTGCACAAATAAAAATGCCAGTGAAGTTCATTACTGGTGATTTGGATGTGGTTTACACTTCATTAGGGATGAAGGAATACATTGAAGGTGGTGCTTTCAAAAAAGATGTCCCATTTTTGGAGGAAGTCATTATACAACAAGGAGTAGCTCATTTCAACAACGAAGAAGCCGCCGATGAAGTTAACAATCACATTTATGAATTTATTAAGAAATTCTAATCTTATTAATTAGTCATTTTATTGTTGAGTTGTGTTAATTATGTTATTTTGTGAAATTTGACTATTATAAATACAGTAACGTGGTTTTTTTTAGACCGATGATCTTTATTCAATCAGTCAACTACGGTTTTTTTCTATTTTTTAGAAATTGTGTCACTACCGATTTTTCCAAAAGAGAAAATGATGTATCTACCGATAGTATATGAGTTTTATACATATTAAATTACATTGATGTCTCTGAGTTTTAATGAAATTACATAATATCTCTCCCTTTTTTAAATATAATTTCTTAAAGAAAAATAATGACTAGTATAATTAAATTAAACAAATATATTATGAAGACAAATATAAATTGTATAAGAATCAATGTCCATTCATTATTTTGATTGGTTATAATATAGTATAAAATTGATTTAAATACATCATTAAAATTATCGATGCAAGTTTGAAAGGAACAAAAAATAATGAATATGCATACTCTTGTATCATTTTGAATTATCTTCATAATATACCATATTTTATTTGACTTAATTACATTCGTGACCGTGATCATTCTTTGTTTAAGAAATTATACATATATCTCTTACAAATGTAGTAAGTATAATGTAGGTATATAATCCGTGGTAATTTGTTTATGATTAAGAAAAGTGATAAATGATTTGTACAATTTCTTTAAAACTCAAACGTCTAGTGTAATTTAGTGTTTATATATTGTCATTATCATTCCTATTTAATCACATTAATTTTTCAAAAAATAATTGATAAATAATATATTGACCGTATATAAATTTTTATATTGACAATACTTATATATTACACTTGTTCTAAATTAAATTTCATACTTAATTTTTTTAGTTTAATCAAATATATCAAATAATATGAGTAATGAATTAATATATTTTTCTACGTGGTCCCAATCAACAACTACTGTTTTTTAATAATATAACTTTTTTTACTTTTAATCTAATACTTCAAAAATTCAACATTTTGACCATTAGTAACACAATTTCAATTAAATGTAATTTGCTTTCAAGAAGAATAGAAGTTTTTTTCCTTTTTTTGAAGATAATAATAAAGAGACTTGGGTTATCACTTTCTTATTAATATATAATATAGCCAAGGATGAGTATAAAGGCCAAACAGAGGAATAAAATTGGCACAAAAATACCTACATATGAATATCTGACTATATATAAATTTATTTTTGATTATTTATATATATACATATAATTTTATTATTAATTTATAATTATATATTATCTATTTTATTATTATTTTAAAATGAAATTTAGTCATTAAAATATAATGATATATTTAATGATTAAAATTTGTTGAGTACTCAGCATATTCATAGAAGTATCTCAAATATAATAAATTTGTTGAGTACTTAGGGTACATAACAGCACCACTTATTTAATTAACATGAAATAGAAAGAAAATAATATTCTGAGAGCCATATAAAATTTCTCTTCATTATAGAAAAGAAAACTTTTGAAAATATGTTTTTTAGAAGGTATTCTATAACTACTTTTTTAAAAATTAAGTTTATTTATAAATTAATTTATCAAAAAGTATATTTATTATATTTAGAAAATCACTATTAAGAATATATCTAATATATTAAATCACATGAATAAAAAAGATTTTTATATTGTCATCAAGATATATACATCATTTGATAATATTCAAACTATTAATCAATTCATTTATTTTACCTTTCAACCTAATCACTAAAAATTACCTCACTTTCTATTATGGTTGGATAACCCGAGCCGGATATCAAGTCGAAATAACTTCCATATTAAATCTAACCAGTTTAAATAGTTAAGTCGTTCAGTCAGACCGAATGATTTTAAATATAATTAATAATTTTATATAATTATATTCAAGTAACATATCACTATCTTTCTTAGACCAAAATAAGTAAAAAATTAAAATAATGTTCCATTTTTTTAAATTTTAAGTTTTGCACTTTCGAATCGGAATTTCTTCAATTCAAAGCGGTCCAAACAGAACAATGATTATACTTGGATTTTATCTCTAAAATAAGGAGTCAAAATCCCTAAAAAAGTTATATTTATATAAGCTTATTTATTTGTCTGATATGTAAGAAGACTTTCAACAACCAAAAAGCTGCATAAGAAGATAACCACTTTTATGTGCTTTATTAACATATTCTTGAATGCTTAAGCCTTAAGTGTACTTAAGAACTTAAGGTTGTGAATTTTGAAGGCAAAAAGAAAACTAATATTATTTTTTTGTAAATTTCACACATCTATAAATATAATTTAACCATGTTATAAGGTTAAGCAAACTTCAGCAATTCAAATTTGATATAACGATTGAAATATTGAAATGGTTCCCTCAGTATGATAAAAAAATATTAATCATGTTATCAGAATTAGCATGGTAAGAAACCAGCATCATTGGGAAACCATTCACCTTGAACATGAAAAATGAAAAAAATTCAAGATCTATTAAAAAATAAAATAATAATCAATCCAATTCATTAATGAATATTGATTATATATATATATATATATTAATATGAACATGAGAAAATAGTGAGATGAAATTGTTTAAAGGCTCAGAAAAAATGTGGAACAAGTTATTTTCCCAGACCTTATACAACAAATGTAAAAGGCCTCAAAGAGCTGGGATCACATAAATCATCATTGCCACTTATGAAAACAAATATATTCCAATATTGCACTAAAAAAATACATGATACTATAATCCAAATATAGTTTAATTTCCAATATAGAAAATCATATATCTCACAAATAAGATTCAATATATTCAGCAACATAATGAAAATTGAGACTTGATGAAAATATATAAATTGCACTACAAGCCCAAAACCATAGATTTAACATTTTAAGGCTTAAACAAATGTAGAACAAACTATACAAATGTATAATGTAATGTTAGATAATGTGGAAAAAATTAAAAATATATAATTTTGAGGCTCAGATAAATGTGGAAAAATTCTATTCCCTGACCTTATACAACAAATGTATAAGATCTCATAATGAGCTGGGATCACATTATCATCATTGTCAACAACATTGTTGCAACAAAAAAAACACAACAGAACAGAACATAACATAGTAGATCTCATTGTTCAAATTCATAAACACCAAAAAAAAAAAGTGTGACAATATAAAAAATGTTTCATATTATATTATATCAATAAGAATAATATAAATGTTCTTTGACCAATAATTTGAGATAAATAAATATCATACGACTTTGGTGCTGTTATATATTCTAAGTATCATATCAAAATATAAAATGGGTAATTAAAATGAAGGCTTAGAAAGATTGAGAAAAAAAAAAACAGAGAATGTGATGAATATGAAGAAGTAGTACCATTGTGGCTTTGGGTTTTGGAAAAAGCTTCTTCTTTATGTTGCAGCTGTTACTGCTATTGCTCATATATAGAGAAAGATATGAAGCTAAGTTAGGGTTTCTCTATTTTCTAGTTTTGCATGCGGGTATGGGCCTAGTGTAACCCTAAGCCCGTGGATTTGGTAGAGCCCATATAATATATTATGTATTTCTCACTTTCCATGTTTTTTTGGGCTACATCATCAAATATATTAATAATCATAAAAAGTTTGATGTAATATGAAATATGTTTTGGCATAATTATTAAAATCATTTTGTGTCGGCCGGTTGAACCGGTAAATAGGTGAACTGGTCTCAATACCGGCACGATACAAAAATTATATCGGTCATGCAATTATACCGGTAAAAATCGGTCAAAATTGGTAAAAACCGGTCATATCGGTCGGTTTTCAATTGAATCGTATCAGTCATACCTGTCAATTTTCTATTTAAAATTAATTTTTTAATGAAAATAAAAATAATAATTATTTTTTATTGATTTTTAAACATTGATGTTAATATATTATATACATCTAACTTTACCGATATGCGATTTAATTAATAAATCATCGGTTAAACCATTATACCATTGTATCATTAATCTGACCGGTTTGATGACTGATATGATATTAATAACACCGGTAAGTGGAACTTCATAAAAATCTTGGTGGGTGAACACTCGAGTGGAGTAATCATACGCGCCATTTAGTTCCTATGCTTTGAAGGTTTCAACATTGAACCGAATAAGCAGTGATTCTATATGGCAGTTGGCAACTATTTTATTGATTAGAACATTTACATTTCCACAATTAAGAAAAATCTGATTTCAACCTTTGAATTTAATAAAATAAGAGAAAACATATAAATTAATCAAATTTAAACCCTTCAATTCAATCAAATAAGAGAAAACATTAAAAATTCCATAAATTTATCTCATTCTATAAATAACTTTCATAAATTATTTTTTATATGATTTACCCCTTAAACTTTGTGTTTTACTCAAAACTCATTAACCAACAAAACATTATTCTAGTGGTTTAAATAGGTTTGATGATGAACCATACCAACTTAGTATTCATTTGAAACTCGACTAATTATTTGTCTCCACAAATTTGGTTCATAAACAAAATGAGTCGAAATTGCGCTAGAAATAGAATTCGTTAAATAAACAAGTCAAACTTGAGCTAAATAGATACAGTTCGATATATATATAATATTTTTTTATGTTTATTATTATTATACCATAATTTATTGTTAATATATTTCATATTTATGGTTTTTTTACTATAAAATAAAAGATAAATATAATGAGAGAAAATGGCAACCAAACAAAAAAAAAACCATTTAATCCGAAATTTGATGATCCTTCTTCATTTTAGTACCTTCTCTCATAAGAATCCTTAACCTTTGTCTGTTTCTGTTATTCTCTCTCTTCTTCTTTGGTTATTATCAATTTGGAGAGAGAGAAAGAAAAAGATGATGATGATGACAATGGAGGGAATGATGGATAATAGTGTATTAGATGATGTGATAAGAAGATTATTGGAAGGTAAAGGAGCTAAACAGGTTCAATTATCTGAATCTGAAATTCGTCAACTTTGTGTTAATGCAAGACAAATCTTCCTCTCCAATCCTATTCTTCTTGATCTCTCTCCTCCTATTCGCGTTTGTGGTTAGCTACTTTTTTTCCTTATTTTTTTTTTTCATTTTGGTGTTTGAATTTTATCAAATCTAATCGATATATGTAACAAGTTTGTATTTTGATTTGTAATCATTGGTATATGATTTCAATTATAAGATGGGTTGGCGTTAGATTTAAGTGATTTTCGATTGTTTGATTCCAGGATTTGAACTCGTGACGTTTATGGAGGCAAATCAATAATCTTAGATCATAGGATTTTCAATTATAAGATGGGGTGGGGTTAGATGTAAGTAATTTTCGATTTCCTGATTACATGATTTGAACTCGTGACGTATATGGTCGTGAGCCCATAATCTTAGCTCATAGGATTTTCAATTATAAGATAGGGTGGGGTTAGATGTGAGTAATTTTCGATTTTCTGATTCCAGGATATGAACTCGTGATTTATATGGTCGTGACCCAATAATCTTACCTCATAGGATTTTCAATTATAAGATAGGGTGGGGTTAGATGTAAGTAATTTTCGATTTTCTGATTCCAGGATATGAACTCGTGATGTATATGGTCGTGAGCCAATAATCATAGCTCATAGGATTTTGGATTGTTATTTAGAAAATCAAATAAATAGAAGGAGGTGTTTGTTTTAATTTACAAGGTGAAGGAATATTGTTTAGAAGGTTTGAATATCTGAAGCCTATGTTTTTAGAAGATAATAACATAACCATGTATGTTTGTTTGAGGGTCAGGGAGCTTGTTTTTTTCATAAATAAGGTCGCATGTTCTAATATTGTGCATGGAAAAATAAAAATCGGTCGAATTCCCCCCTTTAGATTGTTCCTCCCAGCTCTGTTTGGATTATTTGGAGATCTTATACAACAAAAAAGAACAATAAAACCATGCTATATATTTTGTTTATTCAATAAAAAATATTAAACGAAGATAGGTAGAAAGAAAGGGATATGTTTGCTAAAGAGTATGGCCGATACAGTAATTGGTTCATGTAATTGCAGTTTAAATTCATTAAAATCGGATTCATTTTCTTCAGAATGCATCCTTTCCATTATCTGCAATATGTTACGGTTTATTTATACGATCCAAGTGATTAAATTTGCATTCGATTTTGCAATTCTCTTCCCGTGTTTGTTTGTTTCAAATTTCGAAGTAATTTTGCAGGTGATATACATGGTCAGTACCAAGACTTACTGAGGCTGTTTGAATATGGAGGCTACCCTCCTGCGGCGAACTACTTGTTCTTGGGGGATTATGTGGACAGAGGGAAGCAAAGTTTGGAGACTATATGTTTGCTTTTGGCCTACAAAATAAGATATCCGGACAAAATTCATCTCTTGAGAGGAAACCACGAAGATGCGAAGATAAATCGGATTTATGGTTTTTATGATGAATGTAAAAGGAGGTTCAATGTTAGGCTATGGAAGATATTTACTGATTGCTTTAACTGTTTGCCAGTAGCTGCACTCATCGACGGCAAAATACTTTGTATGCATGGGGGTCTCTCTCCGGAATTACAAAATTTGAATCAGATTAAGGAGATTCAAAGGCCTACTGAAATTCCGGATAATGGTCTCCTATGTGATCTGCTTTGGTCTGACCCTGATTCTAGCATTGACGGTTGGGCGGATAGTGACCGAGGTGTTTCATGTAACTTTGGATCTGATGCAGTGACCGAGTTTTTGGATAAAAATGATCTTGATCTCATTTGCAGAGGTCATCAGGTAAACCTTAGTTCATATGAGCAGATTGAACTTCTTGCAAATGTTGGAAGTGCATATTTGTACCGATATCATAAATCTCGTATTTGTATGATAAAACTTCAAAAGATCCACTACACTGATAAGTTCTTAACTTCTGTGCATTTACCAACCTCTTTAGAGATCAATCATTATGAATCCAGAAAAGGCGGAGAAGAAAATATGATATCTCGTAATCTCTTCAGACTGAAACTTTTTTAACTGGAAAAGCTCCTAAAAGAAGTTATATAAGTTCTAGTCTTCTCCCTTACAAGAAAAGTTCTACTCTTCTCATAAGATTGTTCATTTACACCTACTGAGCTAATTATCACCATGAAATTAACACTTTTTGCATCACACATGTTGAATTTTTTTTGAAATTCTAAGTGCCTATAACCTATATATGCTTTCTTTATCTGACATGCATATGGTGTCTTGAACAGCCTCTGCCGAACTATTTACCGACATTTATCTTCTTTCCTGTGTGTTACTTCTTCCCGCCTGTCATGATTAACATCCCATTCTACTTCAAATTGGTCTTATAGGTTGTAGAGGATGGATACGAGTTTTTCGCTAAACGAAGATTAGTCACAATATTTTCTGCTCCAAATTATGGCGGGGAGTTTGATAACGCTGGTGCATTATTGAGCGTTGATGAATCTCTTGTCTGCTCCTTCGAGATATTAAAACCTATTGATAGAGGATCTTCATCAAAGATGAATCTTAAGAAGGTATATATATATATATTATCAACCAGCTGTTGCATTTTTTTTAAATCTCGTATTATTTTCGATGTTTGTGTATAAAATATAAGTATCTTATGTAACCCTTTTTTTGGCAGCCTCCTAAACTTGGAAAAGCTTAGTAATTTGGCAAAGATTTTCTGTGCAAATAGCTAACTCAACTTGTATAGAGTTGAAATCTTCAAAAGTAGTAGTTTGGCATAGGAGAAAGTTGAAGCTTGCCAATAATGTAATTGGCTAAGAGTATATATTTGTAAACTGAACTACCAAGGCATTCTTCTGTGCAAGATCAAAGATTATTGCTTTATACACCATTTGTTGGTTGCTTGTGTTTGACAAATTAGCCTGTAATTTCTGAGTTCAAAGAGATTTCATGTTTTCAAATGTGTAGTTTTCTATGCCATTTATCTTTGAATGACTTGTTCAGGAATATTGTTCTTTGTAGTAGACTTGTTGATGAGGCTTTCCTTGTTACTATTGGCACTGGTTATAACTTGATCAATCCTATGACTACCTCTAGATTTCAACTTTAGCAACATCG